CCTGGCTCTCCAGCTGGTCCAGCATCTCCCGGAGGTCCAGGAGGTCCTGGTGGTGCTTCGCCACCGACTCCCACCGCACCTCCCGGTGCTCCGTCTGGTCCAGGAGGACCTTGTGGTCCATCCGGTCCTGGCGGCCCTGGTGGCCCAGGTTCGCATTTAATACATCCAACAGTTTCATTTCTAGCACCGACCGATATCCCATCGTGACCGCGTTTGCCGGGTATGCCGTCTGGACCAGGGTCTCCATCTAGTCCCGGAGTCCCCGGAGGACCTTGTGGTCCTACAGGACAGGTGGTAGGGAACGGTGCACATGCACAATGAGCTGGATATTGAAAACGACGTTGTCGCATGTTAAAGATAGACGCTCTTTTGTCTCTTGCATCTCGGTAATGAGGCCGCATCTCGTACCAAACAGTATTGGCCTTATCCTGAAAAGAATTCTCCGCGAATTGTTTTATTAGATGTTAGTTAGCGTTACCTTGATATTCAAGAGCTCTTCAATTGCGTGATCATAGTAAATGCTGACATCATTGAAGAGGTAGAATACAGTGATTACGCAGACTGCTGTTGTTACGGCGGTTATCCCGGCTATGCCGGAGGCTATCTTTGTTGCACTGCTCATCTTAAAAAAGCAAGTGAAAGTAAACAAAGCCCGTGATATTACATGGAAGTTGTTTGTGAATTTTAGCTATCATAGGAGATAACAGTTCAATCAGAGATTGTTTGATAACAAAAACCCAGAAATTTCTCTAGTGTGGTGATGTCGGTTTTTTAAGCAAAGTCATGCCGTTTTGGCCTGAAATATCTGCACTCCTGATACGATTATTGACAACTATGCTACAGTAATTAATATGAGAATTTGTATGACGATCACTTTGTCTCTTTGTTATACTGAACATTAAGGCGGGCAAAACGGATGTTTAGACAATATAAGATTGTAAACAAAGTCTTTCGCAGTTTTCAAATGGAAACATCGAATTATAATGCTTTTAATGACCTAAAATTAATTCTAAAATGAGTGAAGTCATTACGTAAATGAAATCATTTTGGAGGTACCTTACAGTATTAATTAAATACTTACCCAGCTGATGCGTTCGCTGGCTGAGCAGATTGCTGATACGCGGCAGTTCACTAGCTTCTGCCTTTTATGCAGGCAATATAGTCGCCATATGGTAAAAACGCCACTCTAAGTGGTAATTTGCTCTTCTACTACTGGCAAACTGTCTTTTTTCAATGACTAATTTGAAAATGATCGCATTTTTCTCGTTTCACTAAAGTAGTAAGTACTTG